CCAGCGGCGACGCTGCCACCAGCAGAGGCCGGGGACCAGCAGGCCTTCTCTCTAGGGCTGCGGAGGCACGGCTTCCAGATGGTCAGAGCATGTTTCTGCCGGCCTAAGCCACCCAGTGTGTGGTCACCAGGAAGTTAACTCAGGGCCTGAGTGTTCTCAGGGAATACACAGGAAGCTCTGGATATCTTAATTTTGAAAATGCTTCTACAGAAAAAAAGGTATTGTTTATTAACACGTTAAGCACCCAGCCTGTTTTGTTTTCCAGATGGGAAGTATAGTGTCAGCCACCAGACACTGACAGGGCGCTTAATGTGTTAAAAACAAAATTCACCTGAGTAAATTTGAAGGTCTAATTAGCTTTCTTAAGGGATTACTGAATTGGGCAGCATCCCATGTAGCAGCTAGAAGGGAATTCTCAGGGGCCATTCAAGATGGAAGGTTTTTACAGGAAGCAAAGTGGGCAAGGCAACTATTAACAAAAGAAAATAAGTTCATTTTGGGCAGGAATGGGAAAGGTGTGTATCATGCAGATTGCCTCTTCTTTTTATGGGGGATGGAGAGGACTGAGGGACACATTACCTTCCTGGCGCTTGACCAGAAAATCCCAACGGGTTAATTAAGATTACATTTCTGGGAGAGGGTGAAATAACAATTATGTCAGGTATTAAATCTAGGTTTGGTATCATGGGCTTTTAGCATGAGTGATGCCATTTTGGCCATTTTGCATTGTGAGACTGTAGTTTTCACTTTAACAAGTTTTTTTGGGGGGCGGGGGGTAACACAATGTGCAAATATTTTGTAATATCTTAAACAGCAACACCATGCAAGCTCCGGAATGTGAACTGAAAACATTAGTTGATAAGACCCCTGTCACTTTTCCTCCAAAGATAGGTGACCTTACCTGAAGCAATTTTTTTTTTTTAAACTTTTTGTCCCACTGAGTTTCCTAGAAAAACCTTTCGTTTCGTACAGGCCCGTGGAGCAGCCTCTCTTATTGTTTACTAGAGGCCCAGTGCATGGATCTGGGACCCCTTGGGAGATGTCAGACTGCTGGTTTCGGGCCGATTTCCACAGGCCAGGCTGAGGGACACCCCGCCAGTGCAAGAATCTGTGCACTGGGCCTCTAGTATGCATATAAGATCTTTGGTTAATCTCTTCCTGCCCTTCCCTCTCTCCTCCCCCCCTGAGATTCATCAGTCTGTTCCATGTTTCCATGCCTGTGCATTGAGCATCTGTCCCCTGGTGGTCAGTGTGTGTCATAGCTACTGGTCGAATGGTCGGTTAGACTTTTATATATATAGACTAGAGGCCCAGTGCACGAAGTTCATGCATGGGTAGGGTCCCTAGCAGCTGCTGTTGAGGGTCTCCCTTTGCACCTGCCTTGGCCTGGTGCTGCCCACTCACCTGCTCCACCATCCCGCCAGTCCCGCTCTCATCGGAGCCCATTAGGGCCGGCAGCACTTCCATTGCCAGTGCCGCCATGTTCCATGCTGCCCCCTGGTGGTCAGCGCACATCTAACTCCTGGTCAGTCGAACTCCCGCCCATAGGGACAATTTGCATATTAGCCTTTTATTACATAGGATTAGATGGGATACTGCCCAATTTATTAATCCTTAAAAAAAGCCAATTAGATCTTCAAATTCACTGGATTGAATTTTTTTAACAGCTGCTTTGGGAATGTTAATTGGCAGGATCTCTCTGAAGGACATCTAGCAAGAAACGGAAAAGCCTTAAAAATATGCATACCTCATGACCCAGCAATTTCCGCCCCTTCAATTTTACTTTAGAAGGTTACACTTAAGTTGGTAATTACTGAGCACTGTTGAGTGCAGACTGGATTTCCAAAACTGGCCTGGTGGAAATGAATCACTGGTGAGTGAAATGCCTGCAGGCTTCTGTAGGTCCAGGAAGGAACTGGGGAAGTCTGGGAAATGCCACTGGCATTTCTCACCTCCGAGTGCACACAAGAATCACTTGCAGTGGTGTTTTTGCTTTTTGTTCTGGAATACCTGAGTCAACAGTCATCATCTCTGGGGCTGGGACCAGGCACTAAGACACCTCAGGGCTTTCAACATGCAACCAAGACCCAGGATCAGCATCCTAGGGCAGGCTAAGTAAAGAGTTGGGAAAAAAAGTTGCAAAACAATTTTGTAAATGAGTATTTATTGGAAAACTTCTCTGAAATCTTGTTAAAATGACCATGTACAAAAGCTCTCATGCAATCTGATTCCATTTATGCAAAATGGAGTATAAGACTGGAAATTAACTTTGGTTGAGTAACAGCTTGTTATGCCCAGATTTCAAGACCCCCAACAGAACCACCAGGGAGCGCCGAGTCCGATGCAAAAGCATAGAGCCTTTATTCAAGCTGAGCTTGGTCCCTCTGCCTCCACCGACGCTGCGGCAGGATGCGAGAGAGCCCCGAGTCTCGAAAGAACAAAGATTTTATAGGGCTTGGGGTCGGGGGGTGAGGGCTCACTCGGACCACTGATTTGACCGATTCTGGTTGGTTGAGTGAGGGCCGGGGGTTAGTGACGCAAGGGTAGGGTGCAGCTAGGGTCTGGTTACACAAAGACAGGGGGGGGGTTCAGCATACTTTCGGCCTTGAGTTTGTTTTCTCTTGCATTCCCATTGGCTGAGATAAGATTGCATTCCTATTGGCTGAAATAAGGGCAGGCTGAGTAACTGATACATTCTGTGGCTTTTTCTTGGAAGAGGGGTTAGGGACCCAGCTATCAGTCCCGTTCTGTCCTTTCATTCCCCCCTTGTCTTGGAACTTACAGCTCAACCATGAGACGGACTGCACTTCTATCTCACCTTCCGTTGCTAGAGGCCTGTACTGGGCATGCAGAACCATCAACTGAACTACCCTTATAGGCTCCTTGACAAATTGGACTAGTCTGTTAATAATGCAAGGGCCGAAAGTCAACAGCATTAGGAGGATTACAAGGGGTCCGGCGAGGTCTGCTGTCTTCTTGAGGGTGATCTGCAGTGGTGTGTCTGGTCAGAGGTCACCTTCCACTCAGGCTCCCTGCTGTCCTGGGCACAGAAGGAGCTGGGCTTGTGACCTGGCAGAGACAAACTATAACAAATGGTCCGGTGGAAGGAAAAGAAAACATTTCAGTTTTAACAACCTCTATTGAAATAGTATTTTTCTTCTTAAAATTCCTCTATGGTTATAAAAAAAAAACAACACCAAATCAAGACTAATTTATCTACTGTATTCAATTTGGCCTGATGTTTGCATAAATACAACAAGAATGGTAACTGACTACCTTTGCTGGAATCTCATGATTGAATCTTAATGTGCCCCATAGGGCCAGGAAGCCAAGCCATCCAGCTGCCATCAGGCCTGCCTGCAGTATCTGCTGAGTTAGGTGAATAACCTCACGTGTAGCAACTCCACCTGAGCCCACGCTCCAGACTTTAAGGCGCATCTCAGTAGCCCTCCTACTAGTTGCAGCCCAGAGTGTGTGGGGGTTCTGCAGGGATGCAGTGGCATCCTTACTGCTCCCCTTCTACTCTTACCAACCGCCAGTGATGGTAGGGCATGGGCCTGACGCTCCAGCGCCAGCCATCTTCAGGGCTCCCAAGCAGGATACCAGGCTTTTTCCGTGGCACTCTTATTGGCTTTAAGTCTTTAGAGTTCAGACAGGTCTCTTTTAAAACATGATACTCCAGTCAAAGTTTCCCGTTAATAAAATCACTATTAGGAACCAGTTTTATTGAATTTATGCAAAGAAATGTATTGCCATGATTTATTAAGCATTGCCAAATTTCAGAGGAATTATATAAGGAGAAAAACATACTGACCTGCTTTAAGATTTTCTGATTTTCCTTGCCAGTCCCTTTTCATGGACTCTTCAGAGTAATATAACTGTCTTTAAATGGCAAGAAGAAATTTACAATATGTCTACATTTAAATAGATAGTTACAGCTCTACCTGTAGTAGGGCTCCCCTTACTTGAATTGTTCTCCCAGAATGGACTAAAGGAGCTTTATTTCCTTATAGGGTCTTACATGTCACAGGACCTCACAGGGTCTGTAATTCCTGTAACAGAGGGCTACTATTTATTACTTTATTATTTCCTTCTATTTCAAACAGGCCTTTCCCAGTTTCTTACAGTTGAGGTTTGTACCACCCCTGACATGGGCATGGTCACGCAGGCCTGCAAGACAGTATACAGGCTGCCAACTGTTAACTGTCTCTCAATAGAGAGCAAAACCTGATGGGTATTCTTCTTTGCCCAGTTGGGCACCTGCCCTCTCGGCAGCTAGGCACCCTTTACTTTGAGGTTCACTCCACATAGCCCCCTTCCAGGACAGCTAACACATAGCTATAACAATGGCCCTTAGTGTGGGAATCTGGACACTTGTCAGTTATTCCCAAAGACTACCAAGGACTGTAGACCATCACCGGTCTACAGCAACTGCTGGCAGCTACAGCTACTTTCAAATCTGTAAGAGAATTAAAGGTTAATATAACATATTAATACAATGAAACATAATATTGGCACCATGGCCGCTTCAGGAAGCTAAATCTTCTGCTACTAAACATGAGATATGGTAGGGCTATACAAACATCTTAGGAAGGTGACTAAATTCTATTCTTGACCTTCCCACACAAAGCAAAATTGTCCTTGTCTCTCTGGAGCCATGTCCATGAAGATGCAGGCATCATCTAAGTTTATTATACAATTTTCTGCAGGCCACTGTCAGGGCCGTGCATTGCGGCCAGTTCTTCTTTCTAGCCACAAACACAGTCTGTCCAATTTCCTTAAAATGTATTCTGGCACAGGAGAAAGTTGTTTTGCTGTACATAGGTAGCTTAACCCTTATACAACTGGGCTTGGACCTCTGCCTAGCAAACTGCAGTCTATAAGTTCAATATGCAGCCTCCGGTTCTCCTAACCCAACAAGGTTTTGGCCAGTCTCTGAGTCAGACTCCTCCTCTCTTGGAGAATTTCAAAGTCCTGATGGCTCCCAGGTCCAGGGATAGTGCCCTTTTGTTAACCCTGTTTATTAGTTACAGGGCCCTGCTTTCTTGCCTTCCCACCAGTTCCCTTTGTGGCAGAGCAGCAACCAGGCCTCTTCCAAGGGAGTGCACTGGAAGGGGATATCAGCCCCTCCTGTGAGCCAGCTGCTTCACCTAGGGTCTCCCGGGGGCCCGGCCAGAGCATCCCCCAGCAAATCCCGGAAGCTGCTGCCTTCTCGCAGGGGCATGGACTGAAGCAGGGGGTTCAGGAGCTGGACGGCGACGGTGGCATTGATGGCCTGGCACGTGGATACGAACATGTGCACCTCATGCATGCACTGGATGTAGCCAGCAGCGAAGCTCTCGCTGGTTTCTGCCTTCAGCTGCTCGTGCCCACGAGCCCTGCCCTGCAGCACTCCCTGCACGCGCCGCACCGTCAGCTCCAGCTCCTCGGCGTTCTCCAGCTTGGCCTGCACCTGCGCCAGCGGGGGCGCCAGGTGGGGAAGGGAGGTGAGGCCAGGCAATGCCCTGACCCCCGTCCACTCGCTCAGCAGCCCTTGGGCACCTGCCTGCCAGCAGCTGCCGCAGCTCCTGTAGGCTCTTGTTGAGCCCGCTCAGCAGCCCCTGGGCACCGGCCCGCCAGCCTCACCTCGGTGCCCGCCAGCAGCTGCCGCAGCTCCTGCAGGCTCTCATTGATCCGCGTGTGCCGCTTCTTTTCCACCAGGGGCTCCCGGGCCTTGCGGTCCCCCCGCTCCTCCCAGCGGTCCTTATTCTCTCGGCCCGCACGATCGGGGCGCCAGGGGCGACGCCATAACCAGCACCGCCCGAAGCATTGTGGGTGCGCCCAGCACCCTTAGCTGCACCGCCGGCAACAGCCCCTGTTCTCCCCACTCTCTCACTGCTGCTTCTTCTTTCAGGGCCGCAGCGGGCAGTTCAGGCATTCAGCCCCCCTTCTTTGACCTGGCTCTCAGGGGCTGAGTCTGCCTAGCAAACAGTTCTAAATCACCAGGGCGGCTGCAGATTTCAGCTTTGTTCCTCCTCCGCTTTTTTTTCTGGGAGTTTAGTTGTTTTTAATGTATTAGAATTCTTTATTCTTAGAAACCTTAATCTTCTAATGATTACCAAAAGTGAACAATTAGCATTGGTGCTTACAGAAAAACTTGTGACCTTGAAGTTTAATTGATAAGACACCTGCTAGCGGTCTGCAGCCAGTAACATAACTGCTAACACCCCCGCCCCCCTTCTCTCAGCCCAGGCTGGTTGCTTTTCCTCACAGATTTTTTTTCCTTTTTACTCTTGATATCTCTCCAACTAATTTCCCTGTCCCCCAGTCCAGTTGTTTGTCTCCCTTTAAACTGTGGGAGTTTCGAAAAAAACTACAGATTGCTCCTATCGTAGCCCTCCCTCCCGGAGGCTGGGGTCCAACCTGTGGGGAAACATGACTCTTAGTCGGCCTGGAAAGATAACGGGTGCATAGGGAGGTTTCTTGCAGACAGAAAGCCTGGAGACCACCTGAAATCCAGTTACAGATGCTTTTAGAATCAGGATGAGGGAGGAAGGGAAAGACCAGGTTATGTCCTCTATGAGGATTCTAATAAATAATTGAAAACAGCAAGTCAAACAAAACACGTCACAGGCAGGGTTAGGGCCAGTAAATCTCTCCTCCCTGCGGAGCTGTAAGCCCTTTGTGTCCACCAAAGAGATAAGAAAACCATAAATAACAAGTTCTTTGAAATTTACTACTTTGTTAATTTGCTAAGCAAATAGTTAACTTGAAAAGACTTCTCTCTTGCTTGTTTATAAGCAATCTCAGAACTAAGCAATCTTGGAACCTAGCCAGCCTTTATTTTAGCCTAGAATTTATCCCTTTAAAGTTTTCTAACATGTAATTAAGAACAGTAGGTTTACTTTGTCCCGACCCCATGATGATCGGTGACGAGAGACAGACAAGGGAGGGGGTGACCTGTTTTCACAGATCCTCACTCAGATGCCAGCCTGGCTGCATCCCTTGGGAGCTTAAATTCGTCTTAGCTAAGGTGCAACCGTATAAACCCCGGGCCTGGTCACCTCCACGTGGGGGTGAGTCACCGTTATGCCATATGACGAATCGCGGAACCGCAGGTTGGGGCCCACTCGGACTCCATAACCGAAGTTGTGGAGCCACACAAAGGAGAGGAGAGGGCAGGCCCCCTCACTCCACACTCACACACTTTCACCAGACATTCACTCAGAGTTTAAACAATCCTCCCAATTCCTAACAATTTCCCAATTCCTGAGGGAGCTCTATAGCCTCCCCTAATCTCTTTGAAATGATCAATCATAATACTTAAAAGAGTAGTCTGAGTTTGTCCCATAATGTCCGTCCAGTAAGTTCACAGAATAAAACAGAAAAACGCAGAAACAGACAAACAACCCCCCCCCCCCCAAAAAAAACCAGCCTTCCGACTCCGCGGAAACAAAACCAAAAGCTAGACGACGGCCGTACACCAACCGGCGGGAGCGACCCGCCTCGTCTCAGATCCTCGTGAGGGAATTCCACGTCCCTTGTGAAGGAAGATCAGAACGTCTTCCAACGCCTCCCGCCCATGGTCCTTCAGCAGTGCGTCCACCTAGACCGCTTCGGGCATTACAGAATTTCAGAAATGAGTTCACACAGGACAGAACACACAACACACAGAACAGAACACACAACACAGACACTTACCGCGGTCAGTCAGACTCTCCGGATCAGGGTCCCTCGTGGGTCTTGGGGGTCCTGGGCGAGCCCCCAAATGTTATGCCCAGATTTCAAGACCCCCAACAGAACCACCAGGGAGCGCATAGAGCCTTTATTCAAGCTGAGCTTGGTCCCTCTGCCTCCACCGACGCTGCAGCAGGATGCGAGAGAGCCCCGAGTCTCGAAAGAACAAAGATTTTATAGGGCTTGGGGTCGGGGGGTGAGGGCTCACTCGGACCACTGATTTGGCCGATTCCGGTTGGTTGAGTGAAGGCCGGGGGCTAGTGACGCAAGGGTAGGGTGCAGCTAGGGTCTGGTTACACAAAGACGGGGGGGGGGGGGGTCAGCATACTTTTGGCCTTGGGTTTGTTTCCCTTGCATTCCTATTGGCTGAGATAAGGGCAGGCTGAGTAACTGATACATTCTGTGGCTTTTTCTTGGAAGAGGGGTTAGGGAC